AGGAATTATGAGAGAAGTCATTTTAAGAAAACAACCTTGCTCCCTTTTTGGATAAACCAATATGTTTATGGAAAGAATCCTTTGTGACTTCATACCCATACTAAATGCCAATTTGAGAAATGATGCAGTATTCCTAGAATAGAGCAGCAAATGGTAGAAAGAAAGGATGGGGTGTGGCCTGGAGTTTTAGATCTTTATGATATAATATTTTAATTTTGATGGAGATATAAATTCTCAAGAAACTGGTCAATCTCATAATTATAAAAATGTTTCCAAGAAAAATATACATGGTTTTTTATTCTGAACTCTCTTGGATTTTTCATGTCATTACTCTTCCAAGTCTTCTTGCTGACAGGTGCTTCTAGTCAATACTTCTGTGCTGTGAAATTTTTGAGCAAGTTTTTCTCTCTTGAGATGGTTTGGGGCTGGTGGGAATTTCAGCTCTGGTTTTATGCCAGAGCTGGTGAAAAATGCAGGTGAAAAATGCTTCAGTAGCTTTAAGGCATACCTTTTGGGTAATGTGGAGATAGGAGTGGAATGGGGTCCGGCTGATTAGAGAGATTACATATTATTAAGTGAAGATATTGTTGGCCCATTGTCCTAATCCTGGAAGGGTTGGGCCTCATTGCTTGCTCCATTTCTATCCCAGTCATAGTCAAGCCCCAAATTAGATGTGGTGTCAGTATCCTGAAGCAAGAACTCAGGAAAAATCAGTGTAGTCTACTCTCACTGTCACTTCAGCTGTTTCATGGTTGCTGCCCAGCTTTACTAGACTCCAGGAGGTTGGTTGGTGGCTTTGCACACAGTCCTGTAGAGGAGAGAGCTTTGAGTCAGACATGGAGGGAGGCAGTGGAGGAGGCGGACTGAAGGAAAGGAACCTTGGCTCACCAAGACCTCGCTTCCAGCCCTTGAGCCATCCCTTATTCATTTGGCTAAAATCATTTACTCTTAGTTGTCAAGTGGGGATAATAATCCAGGCCTACTCCCATGAGGCTCTTTTGAAGATCATTGTCTTATTTGATCTTAAAAGTACTTGCTAAACTCTTAAAAAAAAATAGGGTAGTAGAGATACCTACTGTCCTGGCCTTAACATGGAAGCATGGACCTTAACAGCAAGGTCTGTGAATGGGAGGTGTTTCCTCCAGATCTATTTTTTTTTTTTCGCATTAATGAAAGAGAGAGACTGTCTCTCAGATGATGCTCAGAATATTATTATGATGATGTTGTTATTACTATTATTGTTATTATTATTTGCCTTTGCTTGAGCCAGTTTTTTCCGAGCAACTGCAACTGAGTTTAATTTCTGATGTACTACTAAGAATGTTCACTTAGAAAATATGTATACATCTCTATGATGTGTTCCAGAAGCTGTGGAGAGAGATATATAGGCCCAGACCTGCCCCCCAAGGTGCTTGTAAACTTCTATAGATGAATGGACAAATGCACAGCACTCCTAAGAGGCAGTGGTGGGTAGTGTCCTGAGATCAGATAAACTGCGGAGGGAGGAAAGAACAGGATTTTGGATTAGATGGGTAATTTGGGCTGGTGAACGGTGACTGTTTCCAAGTCACCAAGTAAATAGTCGGGTTGACTCAGTTTTGCTGAGAGCTCTTGCTTGCTCCCTGTTTGGTTCTGGCTGATAGATAATAAAGCTTCTTTGTTCTAGAGCCAAGATTCAAACTTTGGTTCTTCAAGGGAAGGGCTTTTACATCAATTAGGGATCCGACTCTTTAGTTTTTGTTGTGAGGGAGGAAAAAGGGGCCCAAAGCAGAGTCCCTGTTCTGTAGGTGATTCATATTGGATTTTTAAATGTTTAACAATCCATCAAGCAGTCATCCTTAGTTTGTGTACTTGAATTTTCAGTTGTGTACACTGAATTTTCTACTTTAGTTTCTAAGTTTGAAGGTACTGATACAACATTTTCCCCCTAGTTCTGTCAAGTATAAGAAAGCAAAGATCAGATATTATCAATGTTGTCTATTAATTTACCTATTTATTTGTTCAACAGACCTGTCCTCCAGGCACCGTGCTGTGTCCTGCGGAGCTTTCACTTGGTAGGGGATAAGATTCTAGGACAGATGATAAGTGCAGGGTGAATTAAGGGAGCCTTAGCGCATTTCACAGGAAACATCTTCCAGGGAGTTTAAAAGCGGTAGGGCTTGTTGCCTCAGGCAGTTGTTGGATAGTTCTGAAAGGCCCCCGGAAGCAGGGATGAGGCTGGTGGCTTCTGCTGGGAGGTGGGTTAGACGTCAAGGTCCCCTTACACACTCGCACACCATGGCTTATACAAGGCCCTTTTGCTCAATGACAGGTGCAGTGGAAATTCCTGCCTACACGTTCGTGTGCTTGGGGATGGACAGTGTGGGGAGAAGAAACATTTTGGTCTTCTCCCTTCTCTTAAGTGCATTTTTCAGTGGTATGATTATGGTGATCCCCAGGGTAAGTTATTTTATGTTTTATTTAGGGAATGATTAGTTATACTATGATGATTTGATGGGAGAATTTTAAGCTTATTACAGTAAGTATGAAGATCAATTCAGACATATGGACAGAGCATATACATATATTTAAAAATATATTTTCTTAAAAAAATCATTATTTCGCTGTTATATCGAGTAGTACATGCTCACTGTGGAAAATTTAAGGGGAAAAAAAGAAATATGAAAAAAAAATGCCCATAGTTGTACTTCCCAGGGTTGTCCAGTGTTGTGCTTTGTAAACACAATAATCTTGAGTGAGGAAGGTAGGTTATGCCTTCCAAACATTCATTCATTCATTCAACAAAGATCTATCCAGCATCTGTTGTGTGTCAGGTGCTGTTCTAGGTGCTGAAGACACACAATGAATCAAGTTTCTGTAAACATTACGAAGAAAAAACAGGACGAGGCATACAGAAAGACTGTGAGTGGGTTGGGCGCACACATGTGTACTATTCTATTTTATCTAGGGTGATCGAGGATGGCGTGCCTCTGAGAGAAGGTGATGTTTGATCAGAAACCTGAAGGAGGGAGGGAGCCATGGAGACATCTGCAGATATAACGAGTCATATCGTTCCTGTTAAATAGTCTTGATTTTCATTGTGGTAGATTACTAGTTGGCAATTTCTAGTACACATAAATCCTCTGAGGGGATCGTTTTTAAACATGCAGTTTCTCAGTGAGAAACACTGCCATAAACTACTGAAACAACTTTTACATTCCTATATTTTGACAAACCCCATCTCCTAGTATACCTCTTGCATCCACCCTCTACCCCCAAATGTTGTCATAACCTGTATTTTCATTCTATATTTGGAAAATATGGTCACTATAATACTACTTTAAAATATTTTATATAATTTTCTCCAGTGATTATATAATTAGGAAGCAATAGTATCTTAGCATTTACACTTGATCTTAGTCAAAAGGCCAAGAAGCGATTACAGTATCTCAGCGTTTAGAGCAAGGTATTTTAAGTTTCGCATATCGTTTGAAATTTAAGCTAACCAGTGACTTCCTTTTTTAGTAACACTTTACTTCACTTAATTGTCAGGGTTGGTGAATATTTTATGTAATTGAAGTTTCCAGATGATCGATATTATTACAACTGATATAAATGTAACAAAACCACTCAGGACAAGGGTGTCTTCTGCCAATTTAAGGGCACTTCACCCATGCCTGCTGCTGTTTGTGTTTTTGAGTAGTTTGCAGTGATATTAGCTGAGTTGATAGCAGCTGCCTTTGAGTTGGTGAAGATTTAGGGGAACCCCAGAACTTTCAAGTTCTACAGCGGTTAAGCCACAGCAGTAATGCAGAAAACAGAAATGTGGCTGTTGAGGATTTTCAGAAATAGAGCACTAACCCCTAACCACGAATTTCTACCCTTTAATAAAATTTCTTCCCAAATGGTAATGCCAACACAATACAAATTTTTTAAGTCATGTTAATTCATTCAACAGATATTGTCTACAACAGTAATTAAGGTGACAAGGTGACACGAGCTGCTTTAATAGAGTGACTTCACATAATAGACATTTATTTATTGCTCATAGAAAGTCCGATGTGGGTGTAACCTGGTTGGCAGCAATGGGAGTGGTGAGGGGGTGTTCAGCTCCCTGGAGTCATTCAGGGACTCAGGTTGACAGAGGCACTGCCATCCTCAACACATAAACTCTAAGGTCACTTGAGTCTCAACATCCAGCAAACAGATGGGGAGAGAAGAGATGGAATCTCGGAGGTCTTTGCGAGCCGTTGCTGGAAGTGGGATGTTAGGGAAAGCAGGGACTGAGTTGGAGAGGTTTTGTTGTTAAGGAATGCATCAGCCAAAGTGGCAGGGATAGGGGTTGTGGGGAGAAGAGTCTGTATTCATAGTTCAGTTATCACTTTCAAATTATTTTCTGAAGATAATTTATAAGCCATGGAATTACTGCTGCAAAGGGCACAATTTGTTTTTATGGTTCTTTGATTTATCTGCTGGATCAGTTCCAGAAGGAGTGGGTCAATTATTGGTGGAACCAGCATGTCTGGGCATATCTCATTCCATAGCAGTCTTCCCAAGGGGCATTCGATTCTTATTTGGTAATTTGAAATCTCCAAGGCTTGGGGGGGTCACAAGAAAACTTGCCTCTAAATTTCATAAAGATGGAAATCTTTTGCCAACCACGAGTAGCATTTATAAAATAAATTTAAATGGAAAAAAACTCTTCATTGTTCTGAAAAATACTGGAGAATTAGAAAGTTTTAAGGAATAATTTTTATTAAACATTTTTTTATATATAAAATATAAAAGATTTTATATATTTTTAAAATATTATGACGGTCTATTTTGCTAACATATTTTTTTCAGAATCACCATATCTGGACTGTGGTGGCAACAATGGGTGGAAAATTTGGCATAGGCTCAGCGTTTGGCCTCATTTTCCTCTATACAGCAGAGCTGTACCCAACCATGATAAGGTGAGAGTTACTTTTTTTTTCCCAGTTATCTTTCACTTCCATGTCATTTTGTTATATTTGGCCTTTGAGTATAAACGCTTTGTTTTCATAGAAGTTACTGGAGCTTGAAGGTATGGGAAAGTTACATGATGATGGTAATTCTGAATCTGAGGCTTTGTCTATACCTCATTAGCAAGGGTATTAAAGAAGTCATTTTGAAATAATGCTCTATTATCCTAAAACCATTTTAAATCCTGAATATAATTCATGTCTTACACTGACTGGCCATACGACTGAAGGCTAATTTTCTCAGGATGTGTCTCTTGATGTTCTAATGTCAGTTGTACTAGTTTGCTAGGGTCACTGTAATGAAACACCAAAACTGGGTGGCTCATCAACAGAAATTTATTTCCTCACAGTTCTGGAGGTTAGAAGTCCAAGATCAGGGTGTTGGGCAGGTTCGGTTTCTCCTGGGGCCTCTCCGCTTGGTTAAAAGAAAAGATACTTATTCCCATTGAAAGTACATTCTTTCCTTCCTGCTAAACATTCTATAAGATTTCTTTAAATAACTTTTAAAGAAAAGCACATTGAGATATTGCTTGACTTTAAAAAATAAAATGTTCGTAGACAAATTTTTTTGTTCTTCAAAATTCTCTCTCTGAGATACCCTAAACAAATTTCTGCTCTAGAATATTGATATTATCCTCAATATACATGAGGGCCTCATCTGTATACCATGAAGAATGATTTACCTTTTTTTTTTTTCCTATCTTGAATTGCCTTGAATTATCTGCATGCATGTATCCACCACTGTTTCACAGAATGTGGATCTAAATCATGGGTGATTCTTGAAAAATTAAAGTAAAATTATTTCCAAGTATGTTAAGCCAAGCTTAAGTTTTATTATTTATTCCCTGATGGGAGGGTGGACAGGGGCTACAGGAAGTCATTCCATTACTCCTGCATCATCTGTGTTCTACTAGTTTTCTGTTCTTGCTGCTGTCTGTCTGAATACTCTTCTCGTTTTCAGGACGCAGGCTGTGGGAAGTGGCAGTATGGTATCCCGTGGGGGAAGCATCTTGGCCCCATTGAGCATTTACCTCTCCAGCATTTGGATCTTCATGCCCCAGGTGTTTAATCAGTTCATAGGACCTTACCGAGATAGCAGAGAGGTAGACCAGCTAATTGCCTTCTATATTTTTATTTATTGGAAGCAAACTTATAATTCAATGATGGGGTTTTGTAGAAGCCTTATTAACAGCTCACCAGTTGATAAGTAGGGTGGTGGCTGCTTTTTTCTTGTTGGTCAGTTGCCTTCCAACCACCAGTGAACTGTACATCACAACTTTGCCTGCCAGAGAAGGGCCTCTCTTCACCTTTATCATGAAGCTGCATCCACGTAAGGGAGAGCTCTGGTCTTTGTAGTACCTCATGCCTCTGCCTCCGTCACCTGGCCAACCCCAGCCTGCGCTCCTCTACCTGGATCCGCAGGCTACCACCCACCCCCACCCCTCTCCTCTGCCTTCCCTCTGTGTGCCTGCTGGTCAAGGAGAATTCTAGAGGCTGCCTGTTCCTTGAAGGATTCCATGGTGCCTGATGGAGAGGTTTGGGGGCCTGTGGTTTTCAGATGTAAAAACCCTTCCCATCTAGCTGTGGCACCGTGGGCTATTTGCCTGGTTATGAAGAGTGAGCACAGTGTTCCATTTGCAGGCTTCCTCATGTAGGGGTTGAGAGGTTGGGGAATCACGTGGAGCACACTTATACTTGGGTTTAGTAAAACCCTCTGGTCAGGAGGAAGGTGGGAGTCAGGGAGGAGTGGGGGAGTAGGGATCCGGAGCGTGGGGCTGGGGGGCGGCCTGAGGTGCTGCAGTGACTTGGGGGAGAGCCCTGGGCCTGCCGGCCCTCTTCCTCCTCCTCCAGGCTGCCTCTCCCAGACTTCTTAGCTGTATCTTTCTCTAGGCTGTTCCCTCTATGTCTCCTTCAGTGCTCCTCTTTCTTTTTTCTTACTGCCCCTTAGATAGACTCGTTTTCCAAGAGCCATCCTGGCTATCTTTCTCAGTCCCTGCGTGGATAACCTTTCCTAAGTTCTGACTTCTCTTCTGGGCTGCAGACACATTTCTACCAGCCTTATGGATTATTCTCCCCGAGTGTCCTAAGTAGATTCACTGTTGCCCAAACCGAACTGGTGACTTAAATTTCCTCCTCCTCTGTCTCCCACTTTGGGTTAGGAGTCAGTGGCCTTCAGCCCGACACGTGAGCATCAGATTTTTATCTGCCCTGTTCTTCTTCCCCGCTCTCCTCCCAATCCAGGACACTAAATCCTTGCCTTCTTTCTCAAAAACACCCCAGGTTGCCTGCTTCCAGTTCAGTTCCTCATCAGCTTCCGTCTTTTCCCTGCACTCCACCCCTTCGCCCCATCACAATTCGCTGAACCACAGTTCTGCTCCAACTGCCCCGTCACCTTCAGAATAAAATCCAAACTCTGCCCGATTCAATTTCTTTCCAGACTGAACCCCTGCCCACCTTCCCTAGTTCGTTTTGGTTCTCCACTCCCTCTCCACTTCCCCACAGCCCCCTATGCCTCTGCCTAACTGTCCCTCTGTAGAGAGTGTTTCTCTCCCATCTCCTAAACTGGGACCACTGTGGAGGAGGGAGGAAGAGGCTTCTAGGACACATGCAGTGTTTGGTTGTGGGCAATCAAGAGTGTAATTATTTCTGAAACTGTGCATTTGTTTTATACCTTTTTTATACTTAAATCATATTTTATGATAGATAGACATAGACCTCTTTTTTTTTTTTTTCTTTTTAAGAGGTAAATTCAAGAACTATTAGGACTCAAACATCTCAAAAGTAAACTCCATCTGGGGCAGAGCCTTGAAGGACTCCCAGGAATGTAAGATGAGTCGAGGCACTGATTTTTTCCCCATACTTCCATGAAGTTCACGGCCATTGACACAACATGGTCCCTCTCATGAGGTATTCCCAGGCTTCGTGGAGACCAGCTGCCTCACCAGGACCTTCTGGACGAGGCTGTGACTTCCACAGCTGGAGAAATGAGACCATAGCTGGAACCACCTGCCTCATTCCCAGTTCATCCTCCTGTACTGCCTCTGCCGGATGCCTGGTGGGAGGCCAAACGCTGTAGGGGGTTAGATGAGGCAGCCCCATGTGTCTTTAAGATGCAGAGCAAGCCCCACCTCTCCAAGAAAGCCACTCAGAGCTCCTGACTCTCCCCATGTCCGCTCAGCGTTTCGTGTGTGCCCCTCCCACAGCCCACAGTCGCTGTCTGGCTTTATTATTTGCATGTGTGTCCTTGTCCCCCCAGTTAGTGTTGAACTCTTGTAGGAGAGGTCATTCTGTATCCCCACCGCTGGTTCCAGCAAAGCATTTCTTTACTTTATGTGCCACTCATGTTATAATTTGCTTAATGTTTTATGAAGCAATTTAAAACTTTAAATTTAAAATAAAAATAAAATTTAAAATAAATAAGTAAAATTTAAAAAGTTTAAAATAAATTTAAATTTAAAAATTTAGATTTAAATTTAAAAATTTAATTTTTAGGTTTAGCTTTGCCTTAAACAATAATAACAGTGAAATCACGGGTGTTAAACTACTCATATCTTTTTCTGAAACACACTAACAGAATCTCACAAGTAGTAAAGCAAGTGTTTGATACAACCTAAAGTCACCTTGGACACGTAGTTGGTTTCCAGCTGTTCCTTGGGAATCACTGGCTTGTCATGGGCATCCCTCTCGTGTCCCAGAGCAGGCACTCAGCCAGATTTGCTTAGGGTGTTGGGTTGCCACCCTCTTTCCTGGGCTGACTCTGAGGTTGAAATGACATGGGCTGTCTGGCCTGCATAGGGAGGTGTTTTTGGAGAGTCCACCACCCATTTTAGGGTATGGACTTTTCTAGAAGCACCTTCTTTGTGCTAGTACTTGATGCTCCTTAGTAAATAAATAAGAGATAAAAAATAGGAAAGGTGTTTTTTAAACAATGAACTGAAACACAGAAGAAGATAGGTAAATTTATAAAAGCAAACTGCAATAAATTTACTAAAACCGAGTAAAGATTTTTTTTAAAAAGGACATCTGTATCGGTCCACTAAGGACTATGGAGTTTAAAGGGATTTTCATTTTACTTAACAGATCCTTAAGTAGCGCTTGCTCTCTGATAAGCTCTGTTTTAGGTGTTTTACAAAAATTAGTCTTCATAGACTACAGATAACCATTTATTGCTCTTCCCATTTTACAGATGTGGTGACATTACAGAAAGTCATGATTAGCCCAAGGTCACATACCTTCAGGGGACAGAGCTTGGATGCAAACTCCAATAGCATACCTTTTATAGTACAAACAGCGCAAAAGGGAATGCAGAGAAATGAACTCCTTCTCCACCCTGACCCTGACCGCCCAGCTCCCCCTTTCCCAAGACAAGCCCTCTCAGCAGGGTCTTGTGAACATTTGTAGAAATATTCTGTGAATGTGCTTCCTTTGGAGGCCACAGATATTGCTTGTTGTTTTTAATGAGTGAAAAAAGAGAGTATTCAGTTTCTCATTAAGCTTGTTTATGGATGTCAAACTGCCTAGAGAGGCAGTTTGGAGGAACAGAAACCTAATCTAGAAGATAAGTTTGTGTTTTCCCTTTTAAAAAGATGCACATGAAAATCACTCATTCTGATGTTTTTATTAGCTACCATTATTTTCTAGTAATCTAAGTAAAAGTGGATACCTAATTCATATAATTTTTGTATTCATCAATGCATTTGGCAGAAATGTAGTGTGGATCGATTTTGAGTGACCTGTCTGCTGGGTGCTAATTAGCAGAGATGAAAGAGACAGCCTCTGTCTTGAGGGACGTCCAGTCTGGTAGGGAAGGCAGAAGAACAAACAGTCACAAGCCCCAGAGATGGGGGCTGTAGTGAGGAAATGCTGGGGTTATGTGGTTGTAGAAGAGGGCTACCAACCCAGGCTGGGGCCAGAGGGGAGGCTTCCTGGAGGAAGGGGCCATTAATCTGTATCGGAGGGGCCAGTAAGAGTCAGCCTGGTGGAGAGAGATGGGAATTCCAGGCAGAGGAAACGGAAAGGCAAAGGCTTAGAGGGAAAAGGAACGTGGCCAGTTTGGGTTTGGGTGCAAGCATTATTGCTAACACCTGATCAGGGTGGGTTGTAGGAGTCAGGAGATACGTTTGGAAAGATGGGCAGGGGTCTCTGAGGAGGTCAGAAAGGAAGAGCATTTGGACTAAAGGTGCATTTGAGAGGACAAGATGGAAAAGTTGTATGCACAGGATCTGGTGACCAGCTGGGTATGGTGGAGGTGGGGAGCTAGAGGGATGTGAGAACGGTTCCCGGAGCTGGCAGGCACTCAGGAGGGACAGGTTGGGGTGGGGAAGGACAGTATGCCACGAGTGTGGGGCATCTGCAAGATGGGCATGGGGACGCGTCCAGGAGACAGATACCTTTACAGCTCTGGCACTTAGGGGCAGCCCCTGCTGGAGGTACAGATTTGGGAGTCAGCTTAAAAGAGTGAGGGGAGAGTGAAGAGCAGAACCCTGGGAGCACTTAAGGTGTGATGGTAGAGGGTCCAGGGTGGAGACAGGCACAGCAGCCAGGGAGGTGAGGAGGTACCCAGGACCCCAGAGGAGGAGAGGCGGTAAGGAAGGCAGGACAGGACAATGGCTAAGACAGGAACACGTCCGTTGGGTTCGACAGCCAGGGATGTGTGGCCTGGGAACAGCAGCTTCCGTGGATGTTAGGAGTGGGCCAGGCTGCAGAGGGCAGGATGCAAGGAGAGCTGAGAGGGAAGCAGTGACAGCTGTGGAGAGGATGGGCCAGAGGCTGGGGTGGGTGTGGGCTGGGGCAGAGGTCCTTTCACTTCTTTTAAAAGACGGCATTTATTGACTACTTATCCATGGGCCAGGCACTGTTTTAAGTACTGTACACGTGTTATTTAATTTAATCCTTTCAATGGTCTTTTGGGGCAGGTACTGTTATTGTTTCATTCTGCAGATAAGGAAACTGAGGAGCAGAAAAGTTAAGTAACTTGTCCAAGGCCACACAGGTAGCAAGTTACTGGGCAGAGTGGTTTTTGAGATTATGCGAGGCTCGAGAACTTTACTTTTTATTGAAGGAAACTAGCCAGCGGAAAGGAAAAGTTCAAAAATATATGAGAAGGAGAGCAGTCTGCCGATGGAGGGGGACCCTGAGGAGGAGGGGGTGAGAGGCGGTGGAAGCTGGAGAGGGCGAAAGGCTCCTCCTGGCCAGGGGGAGGGAGAGGTGGGGAGAGGGCATTGTTTGTGGGGTGGAGGGAGCTGGCCAGGATGGGGGAGACCAGGCCTTCTGCTTAGGGAGAGAGGGGAGAATGGAGGGTTTGGGGTTTGTTTATTTCCTGATCATTATTCTCACCCCGAAACTAAAAAGAAAAATTCAGTCTTATCTTGGATCTTCCATTTGATTCTGTTTTTTCGTTTAGACTTACTCAGTGTTTTCCAGACCCTGGCACAGGGCTTTTCTGGGGTTTGTACATCAGTGGCTATACCTGTTATGTCTTGAGGCACCAGAAAACACTTTTAAACATCCTTTGGACTGTCATTTTAAATTCTACTACTGCTTCTAGGCTTACTTAGGATTTTTCTAGGACTTAGATTGCCAGCATCCTGCAAAACAAAATAAAAAGCTGACTTCCCGAAAGCTTCCATCTGTTACTGATGTGGCCTCACATCGTGTCACAGTTGCACTGCGTGTTTTATGTTTCTTGTTCTTGGAGGCTGTAAAAGCACCAAGTATGTGATTTATCAGAAAAACCATGCCTTAAATTATTTTTATGGGCTCTTCCCAGGCAGTATTTTTTTGCTGGAGGAATTTAAATTATGTAAAGATGGAACACATTTTTAAAGACTGTATAGCGATTTAGTTCTGCAATCTACCCAACATCTTCATAATGATCAAAAGAATCAATGTATAGACTTTAATTTTTAGTGTGATTTGAATTTTTAAAGGCAGACACCTTGGTGCTAGTCTAAAAGGCCCCCTTTATTTGTCAAAATCTGGAAAGTAAAGAAATACCAAATTTTTAGAGCAAATAAGATGGACCCCTCCCCCCCCAAATAGTGATCAGTTTCCATTGCCCTTTTTTCGGTTTCCTTAAGTTCTATGGGTTTGGTTTATTGAAGCATTCATGCCCGCATGCATGTATGCATTTATTCATTCCCCATCGTTTACCGAATGCAGATAGATAGCATGCTGATTATTGGGGCAGGGACAGGGTTGACTAAGTCCCAGCCCAAGGTTCAGTTGCTGGTTTTCTCCACAAGACTCTGGACTCTGGGAAAATGGGACAGGGAACTTTTTCTCTGTGTAGCTCCTAAGATAGTGCCTGCAAGAGTAATAACGCAGGCAGCAACCGGGACTTATTGAGTGCTGCATGGTGTTTAATGAATGAGTGGAATGATCAGATTAAACCTGGTTGATGAGTTAAAGAACTCCCAGTCCTGCCTAGGTAACCAAAGGTCTTGCTGCCGAATAAAAACGACAGCTGTTATGTCAAATTCAATTCCGTTGCCCTCTGAAAAAGTTTCAGAATTAGTCTCTGAAGGGTACATTTCTTTCCTGCTGTGTCACTTATTTTTATTAATTTTTAAATTTCTTCTAGTTGTTTGTTGGGATTTTGGCCTTTGTGAGTGGACTGCTAACACTAAACCTTCCAGAAACCCTTGGGAAGCCTCTGGCAACCACCTGGGAGGAGGCGGCAGGACTGGATGAGGAAAGATATAGCGATGCAGGCATATTATCTCCCACAACTGATAATACCGATGTTGAAAAAAAATAGAAGCGATGAATTCTAGGGATTCTGGTCTTAGTGAATAAATGTGCCATGTTTGCTGTCTCGCACCTGAAATAGTGTTTACTTTAATGCCTTTGTATTAGAGAGATGTTATTTTCATCTCCCACATGTTGTTTATATGTCTTTTAAAAAAATTGTAAGAAAGTTTTAAGACAATTGTTTTGTAAAAGAAATAAAAACCAAGATGAGAATGCTCTTTTTTTAGACTGCCTTTTTTTTTTTTTTTTATTGCCGCGACGTATTTTTCTGTGTTTGTTCTTCTGTGTCATTATTTCTCAACTTTTTCTCCGCTCATTATCTGAGGGAATACCACCTACTCCAGTAAGTACCAGAGTTGCCCCTGCCCCCCAAGGACTGTCACCTGGGAAGAAGGAGCATATCAAAACGTGTTTGTTTTTTTTTTTTGGCAAAGCCTTTTGAAGATTTTCTGATATTCCTTCTCCTTTTATGAGAATCATAGCTCTAAATTCAAGTCTTTTTTAGTAATTCCCTGTCAAAAAATATTTGTTAAACCATAAAATAATTTAACTATAAAAACTCTAGCTATGAAAAAGATGTTTTGCTTTCTAGCACTCTTGAGCAAAGAGGGCTTGACTGTGTAGACAAATGTCCTTGTGTTTGGTCCAGTTCAGGGACTGGCGTTAGCTAGGGGCTAGGCGTGTGTTTTCTAGTCTGACATTTTTACCTTTCTTTAATTTAGTAAATTCTTTCTGTAAGTCACCTTCACCTTACAGAGAAGCTGTGGCATTTTAGTGCATTGCAGACTTTTAAAAAAATTTACAGATCACTCAAGAAATTGACTTTAAGCGTCATGAGGATCTTTTGCCAACGTAAAAAGAAAGTTAAACATTCTGGCCTTTAAACAATAATTTAGAGGAAGACTTTTTTTTTTTTTAAGTACTAAATTTTGTTTCCTCAACTTCACTTAAAACCATACAAAAATAGTCTAATATCCTGAACATTTCAACTTAAAAATTATGACATAAATGTTCTCTGTTATAAGAGTGCATTTCAGATAAATTTCCCATAGGTTTTGGGTTTTTCTTTACAGTGGTTTCATCAGAAGTTCATTATTCTTTGCTTTTGAAATTTAGCTGTTAGATGTGTCTTTTGTCCAGGATATTAGAATCTATGAAGTATCAGTGTTTTCTGCAGAGGCAAGTAAAATAAGGATTAAAACAATTATATAGATGCCATTGTTAAAATCATTGCTAATGGGAAAAAGGAAGCATTTGACCTGAATTATTTAAGACTTTTTATATTAATCCAGTTCCCTGGATAGTTGCTGTTCTTCAGTTGGTCTTTCCATTTGTAAAATAAAACATAAAACCACAAACCTTTCACTTTTTTTTTTTAACAAAATGAAAAAAAATAGGCTATGAGAAGAGGAAGACATTTTTTATCCTTCCTCTCTCATTTTGTCTTTCTTCTTTTCTTCGTCCTCAGCCTGTTTTACTGTCATTTAGATTTTTCCTCTTAGTTAATATTTGATATTTTCTTGACTTTCTTTTTATGTTCTGTATTAGTTTGGTAGGCTGCCATAACAAAATGCCATAGATTGGATGGTTTAAGCAACAAAAATTTACTTCTTAACAGTTCTGGAGGCCGGAAGGCCAAGATCGAGAATGGCAAGGTAGCTTTCATTTTGAGGCCTCTTCTCTTGGCTTGTAGGCAACCATCATCTCACTGTGTACTCATGTGACTTTTTTGTGTTCATGCGGGTAGGGGTAGAGCGAGGCGAGGGGGGCGAGAGAGAGAGCGAGAGAGCGTGAGAGCATGCACACGCTTTGTTGTCTCCAAAGAGCACTAATCCCATCACGAGGGCCCTATTCTCATCACCTCATCGAACTCTACAAACCTTCAGCCATAACATCCATCTATGTATTTTTTTTATCAGTAAATGTCCCATCAGCAAAACATAAGAATCACTAGAATTTGTAAATTTTGCAAAAGTAAGATATATTCCCTGAAATCCGTTAAGACCACTATATCTTTCCATCCAGTTTTCATTCTGTCACATTATCCCTCTTGTTGGATGGCATCAAAGTAGTCACAGGCATTTTTTTCTTCCATAATTTTGTATTTTGTTTCTTAGGAGGGCTCTTAAAACTGTATAAACGTCAGACCCCCACAAAGGCTGAATCTGCACCTGTTTCCCCCGAATCTCTGTTAAAAGGTGTGTTAGAGAAATGTTTATTAAAAAATATGCTTTGAGTGTATTCAGCGGAATGATCAGCTCTCAGGGGCTTACTTGTCCCCTTTCTCTCACCTCTATCAAATATTTACTGAAAACATACTAAATACAGAGGGTTCATTTTGTAAGTGGCACATGCAAAGGGATACTTAAATTCTTGTAACACAGGCATTTTTTTCTTCCATAATTTTGTATCTTGTTTCTTAAGAGGGCTCTTAAAACTGTATAAACGTCAGACCCCACCACAAAGGCTGAATCTGCACCTGTTTCCGAATCTCTATTAAAAGGTAGTGTGTTAGAGAAATGTTTATTAAAAAATATGCTTTGAGTGTATTCAGCGGAATGATCAGCTCTCAGGGGCTTACTTGTCCCCTTTCTCTCACCTCTATCAAATATTTACTGAAAACATACTAAATACAAAGGGTTCATTTTTTAAGTGGCATATGCAAAGGGATACTTAAATTCTTGTAAGGGGTGAAGAGGACTATTTTCTCATTTGAGATTGTGACGCTGACCATGGCAGCCAGTCTATGGTAACTGCCTCCGACAGTGTCTGGGAGTTGCGGTGTTCATGTCTTATCCGAATTCTCCAGAAGGCAGTAATGGCTGTTTGTTTTATTTCTAAAGTCCATACAGCACCATTATTTACTGATAACTGCTAGTTCCCTAAGTAAATTTACTGATTACTGCTAGTTCCCTAAGTAAATTCATTTTTCTTATTCATTCTCTGCCTCTTTCCAAAACTTGAGCTATTTTCAGGCATGTTCCAGTACATAAGTCTTGAAAGTCTTATTTTTCAAGGAAGAAAGTGTTCAGTTATAGATTCTGCCCTACTTCTGTGTCCCGAGTCAGGGCTCGCCAATGTATCAGAGACTTGAGTGCACCGAACTCACTCTTTCTCTGCTTTCCCTGCACCAACCTGGAGCCATGTACTACTGAAATCCTGGACCCACGAACCCGGCTTCCTCAAAAACCTTCTGAAGAATTTGAGTTCTGTTGGCTCGAGGCCCTCAATTTACTGGCAGACCAACACACCAGCAGGGCTAACACACATCCAGAGCCATTGACAGCCATGCAGAGCAGAGCAGGAGGGGCTGAGTGGGCAGGGAGGCCCCAGTACACTTCACAGGGGAGGCTCCGGGCACCTCAAGCCCAAGGTAAAAGTCTCTGAAAAATTGTTGGGGAGGAGTATGAAGCTGAACTCATCTGCAGTCTCAGCGAGATCACTTCGACTCTTTGGACCTCAGCCGCTCCCCTGTAAAATGATAACACAAGGTCCCACTAGATGGTCCCTGAGGCTCCTTTTAACTCACCCTCAATGATGCCTGAATCAGTTTTCCTATCAGTTTTCTGAATGATCCCTACTTCAAGTCACATCGCTACAGTTCTGTGCAGCAGAAAATAAAAGTCCTATTATTTGTATATAAACACAGGCTTCTTTCGCGGTTTCATTTCTAAATGTTTCCTTCTCGTTTTCCTTTCAGAGGCAAGTAGAGTCCTGACATGGGTAGGGAGAGAAAGGAGCCCTCTCAGATACCCTCTATGGCTCCCACTACTTTTCAAATACAGTCCTCCATCCTAGCTGGTGCTTTTCACACTCCGCTCTCACACAAACCTTCTCATGTAGCCACCCACCATTTCCTTAGCTCTCTTTTGAACTTTCTGCCTCTGCCGCTTTGCTCACACCATCCTCTGCTGTCCCTCCCCCCACCCCACCCATATTTCCTACCCTTCTCTTTGTCTATCCAAATCTCACTGATTCTTTGGAGCCTTCCTCATTTCCAGTCTTGTCTGCTGGACTGACCAGTTAGATCCATCATGTGTCCTCTCTCCTGAGCCCTCACAACACCTACAGTTAGTGCTCCTTAGTAGAGGGCTGTCTTATTCTGCCTTGTTTCCTTCCTCAAGGGAGAGAACATCATTTTAGAAACCCTTAAATCTCTTGTTGTCCTTGCAACATGCCTTGGACAGAGTGACTGCTCTGTAAATGTTTGTTGATTGACTTTATAACATGTGCTCAAAAAACTATATATACCATCTTACGAAGAATTTTATATATCTTAGCAGATGTTCACAACGACTTGTAAGAGAAATCTTAGTTCATTCACAATTTTCAAATGGGGAAACCGAAACTCAGAAGTTAGGTGACTTGCTCAAGGTAAAACATCTGGCACGAAAGTGTGTGCTTTGATGAACATTTTGAACCTTGGAGACTGACATTCAGACTGGGCTTTGCTCTTAAGAGAACTTGGGCCCTTATTCTCTTGGAACCTTAATTTGCTCATCTATAGAATGGGGATAATAATAGCACCTATTTCATAAGGTGGTTGTGTTATATTGTGTTATGCATGTGTCTAGCACAGAGTTAAGACTAACTTCATATTAGTTACAATATTATTATCATTACTTTGATGCATCAAACTGCTTCCCTGTAAACAAATTTGTTGATTGTAAAGTGTCTGCCACAAGGTAGATACTCAGCCAATATTTGAATATGTGAGCTAAAGAATCATTTGGTTTTTATCCTAGATTATCTCCTAAATAATCTTTCCAACTGTGATCAGGTCATCATTTTAGTGATGAACAACATTATTCTGCCTTCCCCCAGCCCCCACACCCCCTCCCACCAGCTGGCCCAGCAGAGCCAGGCACCAATGGGAGACGGCAGGAACTCTGGGCAGCCAAATGAGGAAACCAGGGTTTGCTTTGGGCCGGAACTTGCTGGGAGTTGGATAGGTTCACTCGTTATTTACTGTGCCTACAAACCAGCTGGAGAAATCCCAGGCTGGTGGTGAAATGGAGGGTTTGTAAACTAGAAAGAGAATTGCTGCTAAGTAAGGGTGGACACGCTCCCAGGGCTTGGCAGAGCCGCAGCTCCATGGAGCTTACAAGATGAGGTCAATGGTTCCTTTCTCCAGGAGAATAAGTGACAGAGCCACGGGCGTACGGGCCAATGGAGAGTAAGATTAAAGGGAATGTCCTTAACAGTTTCCCCAATAGGAAGCAGTTTTGCTTTCCCCTCCGCTTTTCAGGGCACTAGACCAACCAACCGCGCACTGGGAAGACAAGCGTTGGTGCCAGAGCCTTCTGTGGGCTCCAGGCTGCTTTTTCAGAGACAGGTACTTGAATCCTCCTGCTTGTGGCTCAGGGGTCATTCTATACATACTCTTTGGGAGTTTGGGGTTGTGTCTTAGCGGGATCAAGTGACAGTGATTCACAGGTCACTGGGCCAAAGTATACCCACCTTGCTGGCTCACGTTCCTTCTCCCTGGCAGCTGGTTATTCTCAGCCATGGGCTACCTGCCCTCCCAACTGAATTTATTAGAGCTATTTTGAGAAAGTTGCTGGGCAGGGAGGCTGGCGTGAAATAGGAGAGCCAGGAAGGGATTAGGTGGCTGCCTTCTATCTCTGGGGGACACATGTGGGGCTACGCTCCTCAAGCTTGCCCCCACCACTGGTCTGTCCCTTGCCTGGACCCTTCCTTTCTCAGAGGTGGGGTTTCAGGTGTGGGGTGGGAGTGAGGATGGGAATGTGGGGGTGGAGAAAGCAGTGACAGAGGCAGGGAAGGGGGTGGCGAGAGCTGGTTAGAGTGAGGAGCAGAAGAGGAGATGCTGAGTTGAGTCGTTCAAACTTTCTGTCACATTGTTATAATTAAAAAATTAGTTCATAGACAGTAAAGCCTAACTCTAAATTGCTCATGTACCCTTCCCTCCCAGTGGCTGTACCTCGGGAGGTTTTTGCTGCTCGTGTCTACCTCGCTTACTTCACCAATCTTCCCTACGTCGTGTCCACAGGGAGAGTGGATTAGGCAAGGGGGCGGAATAAGTAGAAATCTCCCCAAAACGCAAACCTACTTACCTATCATGTGTTCTAGCAGCAACTCCAGGCTGGTTTTGCAATAATGTCTAAAACTCCCATCGAGACCTTGCTGCCCCAATGCATCATGGAAAGAGAGCTTACAGGGACCTCTCTTTATTCCACGAGGAATACTAACAGGGAAGGTCTTAGTTTGACAGGCTGTGGACCTCAGGAAAGAACCCCCGGGGCCAAACTCTGTGCTGGATCGAATAAACCCTAGAACAAGGCCTATAGCTCATGGCTTCTCTGCCCACAGGCCCATGGACACAGTCCGGGTTGCCGTTGTGGGGGCAGGTGTGACAGGGCTCTCCACTGCTCTGTGCATTTCCAAATCGATCCCGCGATGCTCCATCACAGTCATTTCCGACAAGTTTACTCCGGATACCACGAGTGATGTGGCAGCTGGAATTCTTATTCCTCATGCTTATGAAGGTGAGAAGGATTTTTGCTCCTCTGTCAGGTATGATAGACATTAGGTAGAATGATGCTAGTGAAATTCTGTTGACAAAGACAGCTGGATGTGCATGTAAGTGTAATGTACACTTTTAGCATCTCATTGGTTCATCTGTTAGGAAGGGCTCAATTATGCTGTAAGACAAGAATAACCTCCAAATCTTAGCAGCTTGAAAAGCAAAGGTTTTTTTCTTGCTCACGTATATGTTGATCGAGCATCAGTGAGGGACCTGCTTATCACCCAAGGATCTAAGCTGATGAAGCAGAGGCTGTCTTGAATGTCATCAGCACCAGTGCCAGGCGGAAGGGAGTTTTGGGGACGGGGCGGGGAGGGTCTCACTTCTGCAATTAAAGGATCTGTCCAGCCCACCCCTCAGAAAGAGGCTGTGAAGTGCAAACCTGTAAGGCTCACAGGAGGTGGACAGCCAGAAGTATTTGGTAAACAATAATGACTATCACAACTGGTAACTCTAAGTCTCCCTACTGATTCCAGTAATGACCATCAAGTCAGAAACTACTTGCATGTAACGAGACTGAAATTATACTCACTCGTACGCTAGTATAAAAACAATCAGTCAACATGTATTCAGGCCTAAGGATGCATTAATTTTTAAAAACATATCCACGCATTCTTTCCATTTGGTATTTCCCGCGTGAAACGGGAGAAGGGGAACAGCATTAAATAGAAACCCAAATCACTTTGCAGCGAATGAGGTTAATATTCACTGTCTCCACCTTCTTATTTGCACTCTCTGTTCTCTCCTTGTAGTTTTAACTTTTTAATTCAAAGTTATACACGCACATAGTTCAAACAGTCAGATGTTTATAAGATTTATTACAAAAAGCAGCAAACTGGACTATGAAAATTGCCCTGTTCATTTAATCTGGAAACTCATGTAGTTCAGTTCAAGAAGCAGTCCCAAGTTACTCAATTATCGAGGCTTCTCTCCTGATCTCTCTCTCGTTCTTTCTGGAGTTGCTGCTACGCTGGGCCTCCTGGACTGGTCCTCCAATTCTCACAGCTTCCCTACCCGCTCCTATTTCTACCTCTCTTTTTATTTTCCTTTCTGGAAGATTTTCTCAATTTTGTCTTTTACCTTGTTGTTGACTTTTTTATTTCTACTATAGCATTTTTTTAATCTTCCAAAGTTCCTTTTTGTTCTCTAAAATTTCCTTTGTGATAACATTCTATTTGTGTTCTATGGTTGCAACAGATTTTCTTTCTGACAGATTAGTATCTTTCTGAAAATACTAATAATAGCTTTAAAAGATTTTCTCTCTGCATAGTTTTTGTTGTCTCCAAGTTGTGCTGTTTTGTGGGACATTCTCATTTTTCATATTGCAGGTTTTCCTTGGCCATGTGTTCACCTTTACCTGTCTGCTGACAGATAGGAGAAGGACACTAAATAGCTGATGGGAATTTCTAAGCACGTACACAGGGCCTGTAGCCTTAAGCCTCACTAGAGTGAGATGGCACTTAGTTGGGGAACCTCTAATGTCATTATGTTGCCTGTAGCCTTAAGCCTCACTAGAGTGAGATGGCAGGTCTATTTAGTTGGGGAACTTCTAATGTCATTATGTCTAAGTCTTTCTTCTTGGGAAGGTCATGTTTGCCAGAGAAGAGGATTCCAGTCTCCTGGCTGGGGAAGGTTGAAAGCCTACCTGGCATCCTTCTAGGAGGCAGAGGGAGGAGAGGGCTGGAGTCTTAGCACCCGGTTCCTATGTGTTTCCTTAACCTTCCTCTTCAGTATGTTGTTCTTACTTGGTGTTTCCTAGTGCAGACATGCCCAGTTTCACCTAACAGAGAATAAACCCATCTTTTGCCCAGATGGAGAGGGCAATGCCTTGGTATTACAGGTCCAAGAACTTGGTTTTATCAGAACCCATGATGCTTGTCTACCTCCTGGGAGCTGCCTTGCAGGGAACAAGCACAGGAGGCTGGCATGTTTGCATAACGCTAATTCATACTAGGTGCCTTTCGTATGACAAGTTCTCGTGTCCATTTCTAAGAGCCTCCTTGCTTGCACCAGGCCCGGATGAGTGGCCAGAAGGTAGCCTGATAGTCATGGAATCATCTTCAAAGGTGGCTCACCTGAGAGTTCATCCAGGCCATTGAAGCCAGAACTCACACTCTGGGCCGGATGGTTGGGGCCCTGGATCAGGGTCTTTCTCTCTCCAGTCTTCTCTCTGGGCTTCTTTCAAACCAGCCCCAGTGGTAATATCTTCTGTACTTATGTATGTCAACGTTATACAGTGTTTAAGGAAGACAGCACAAATCCACTCCTAAAGACACACTTATGGACTCTCTAACAAGTTTTAAACCCTGCTACTGAAATGCCTGCATTGATCTAGGGGCTTTGTCTGGGGAGCAGGATGACTCCAGGGGCCTGTTCACTTCTATGGTGAACTCCAGGGAATCGCTCCAAGCAGGGCTGAGTCAGCATCCTCTCTGCTTCAGTTCCCTCATCTCCTCTGTGGCTGCCCCGTAGCAGCCCTTCAGGAATACTGTTCCCCAGTCCCTGGCCTGACCCTGGACTCTCCCTCATGACCCTTCTATGGGAGTCAGACGGCCTGTGGATTTGTCTGTGCCTACATTGGACACTTTGGAGCTCGAACACTTATTTTGGGGCTTGACATTTATGTCCTTCTGGACAAGCCTGGTACCCTTCCAGAAGCTGTGTCTGAGTCCAATCTCTTGTGCTCCGGCAGGGATGCCCAGGGGATAGGGAGCGCTGGTTCACAGGACTCTTGACAGAGACGGGGTGCCCTGCATGGTCCTTGCATATCCTTGCCGACTCCGGGGATGATACTCTAGGCTGGCCCGTGATTCCATGGAATGGAGGGGCATGGAGGACATAGCAGCCCTGGCTGGGGCCGTAGGGAGCCCCTCCTGAGGAGCTAACCTCCGCAGTGCAGACCTTGTTTCCTTGTATCAGGAGGGCGAGCTCCATGGGCTTCCCATTGACGTGCAGCTGTTCTCTGTCCTGGTTGATCTGGGCCCCACAGGTCTACTCTTGTCACTTACCATGTTTTCAGCCCCAGGAAAGAGGCCCTGGGTTCCTTCTCCTATCATTTCAGCTGTATGGCCAGCCAGATGCCTTAGCTCTAAACTAACTTCTGCTAAGGCTGGTTATGGATCTTTCAAGGACTTCTGGAATATTCTTGGTACCAAAGACCACCTGCCAGCTGACTCACATATCAGATTTTGCCCTGATTGATTGGTTTCCCCTTTGCTGATTAATCATTATATGAACAGAAGCTAATAGCACACGTCAACATTCAAAACTCTGTATGTTGATGTATCTTCTACCACACTGTGGTACTTTATCTAAATGTTCCTCCTTGTCTCTTTATTTTTTCCATTTTCCAAGAAGGAGTTTATGTAAACCGTAGTCAATAACATCACTTTCTTTTCTGTTCCCCTTGGCTTTTCCCTGTGATTATAGACACACCCATCCAAGAGCAGAAGCAGTGGTTCAGGGAGACGTTTAACCGTCTATTTGCAATTGCCAGTTCTGCAGAAGCCAGAGAGGCTGGTGTTCATCTGGTGTCTGGGTAAGAGAAGAAATCCGAAGTTATTTTAGAGTTTGGAATGATCTTAACAGACTTTAGAGTTCAGCGTAAACTATTATTGAGTATCTGCTGTGAGCAGCGTGCTGACCTAGATGTGGGCAGATTTAGAAAAACATTTTAGGCTTTACTTCAAAGAACTCAAGAAAGACAAATTATCATATTAGATTTTTTAACAATAAACCAATACAGTTTCTCAACACAAATACTATTTTGAGTTTCCTCAGGGATTACGCAGTGATTTCCAAATATGGCTAAAAAATTTGTCAGGTAAGCAACGAGCTTAGGTTATGTGGGGGATGATGTAGCTGATGGAAGTCAAACAGGTGCGACACTGGAATGGGTACAGAGACCCAAAATATAGGGACATATTATATAGTTAGTGTTTTTGAAGAATGAGACGTTCCAAAAAAAGTAAATTTTCTAGGTCACTAAAGTTACCTTTTGAAATGCCACTTGGGAAAAAATATTTCTGAAACAGTTAGCACACTTCTATTTGATTCTTCATATCTAATTTCAGGAGACATGCATTATTAAACAAAAGAGTTTAAAAATAAATCCTATGTAACATTTCTAGCACAAACTAGCACTTAAAATATGACAATGTCTTTCTATATCTTCTTAAACAGAGATTACTAGCTATTCTATCATTTTTAATTTATGTCTTTTAATTTATGACATAGCCTATATGCTATCTATATTATCGTGTGTAATACAGTCATGCCCTAAGCCTTCTGAAGAACAGAAGGTTTGCCTTTTCCTAACTTCTCAAATCTACTGCCTCTTTTGTGCTGTTTCTAAAAATGAAACAAAACTGTCCTTTCTCTTCTTTTGAGAATCAGGCTCTCTGCTGACATTTTCTGCTGGTGACATTTTCTGCCCTCCCTCACCATCACAAACACCAAACGGTGTTGATGTCATTAATTTCCTGAAGTCCCTGTCCAAAGCAGCAATTTTCACTTCTCTGCCTTCTGAAGATGGACTGATAATGACAATTCTCTTCAAAGCCAGATGATGAACCACATCGAAGAGTGCTTCTCATTGATATACGGCCACACTTGGTTTTTGTCCAACCAGTGTGACCCAGCCTAACTCACAAACTTTGGCTCTAAGTAATTTTCGTAGACAGCTATGTCCAAAATTCAACTATCCTTTCAAGAGTAAGACTTTGCCACCATTGAGGATATTAAGAAGAATATACTTTAAGTATTCTAAAAGAGAGTATTAAATTCACATGAATGATTTTTATCCCACTTGTTTCCAAAAAGGATTTGGATCAGTCAGGTGAAGACAAGGGTACAATGTCCTGTGTGTCTTTGGCTTAAGTATATAGCCTTAATCATCTATTCATCTATTCATTCCTTCTAAACAATTTTTCAGCATTCGCCGGTATCAGGTACTGTCCTAGGTATTAAGGATATATAAATGAGCAATTTAGTACACACTACTTGGCATATAGTAGATGCTCAATAAATATGTACTGAGTAAATTTGTAGGAAAGTCAGACTTTGTCCTGCCCTCATGCAGCTTATGGTCTGTAGGGAATGTCCTAAATCTAATGAGTTGCAAATGAGACACGAGTTACCAAGGGAAGAGTACAGGGTGCTCTGGAAGTATGTATCTGGAGAATAACTTTCTCTGGGAAGTTGTGAGAAGCCACCAAGAAAAAAGTAATATTTCAGCAGAGACCATCTGGATGAATGTAGGTTAGATTTGGTGATGTAGAGGTGAAGGAGCAGAGACAAAGTTCAGGACAGAGGAGTCAGTATACCAGGCGGAGGCACATGCATAGACCTGGATCTAGGGTGACTGATTTATTGGAGGGACAAAAATTTCCAGGGTAATGGAAAGCCACTGAGGGCTTTTCAACAGCAAAGTAACTGATCATGTTTGCTTTTCAAAAATATTCTGTCTGTAGCGTGGAAAACAGATTTGTGGAAAGAGAGATAATGGTGGGATAGATTACGTGTTGATAGTAGGGATAGAGAGTAGATGAATTTGAGAAATACTTAAGAGGAGATTTGATAGGGTCTGACAGTTGATGACATGTAGAAGGTGAGAGAAGAGAGAGAGTCAAGGATGACTCTTGGGTTTCTGGAGTTAGCACCTGGGTAGATGGGGCACCGTTTTCTGAATTGGATAAGACTGGGGAAAGAGGGAGGGGAAGTGTGCAGGGTGGTTAATGTGGAGACATGGGGGTAGACATCCAGTGGGGAGTAGACAACATGGGTTTAGATCTGGTTTTGGAGCTCAGGAGAGAGAAGAGGGCTGGAGATGTAGCCTTCTTTGGAACATTACTTGTTTTAATTTAGATATTTTGTTCAGATTTGAGGTCAGTCTTTAACTTATGATGGTATGTAAAACATCTGGAAAAACAAAAACTTTTCCTCAATATACACAGTCATAACTAAATAAAGAAAAGCAAGACTTTTTAGAAAAAGAGAATTAAATTCAATCTTTAAAAGACACACTGTTTTTAAATGTCTTATTTTCCTCAATCATGCACATTTTAAATTTAGCTACTGAGTTATCTGAACCCAAGAGAATGGAAGAATAGATCTTTTTCTCTTTATGTGTTATAGAAGTGTGATTTTTCAATAGTTTAGCAAATATTGCATGGAGTTCACTAGAAATGTGTTATTTCACAAAATTTCAGGAAAATTTTCCACCTAATATGTTTGAGTTGGCAGATATTTCGGAGTGTTCCTACTGTGGAAGTGCCATTCTGGGCCGACGTGGTTCTGGGATTTCGAAAGATGACCAAGGCTGAGCTGAAGAAATTCCCTCAACATGTGTTTGGTCAGGCTTTTACAACACTGAAATGTGAAAGTTCTGTTTATCTCGCATGGTTGGAGAAAAGGTCAGTTAAAATGGCTCTTTGCTGCTTTCTTCATCTGTCATAGCCATAAATAACTTCGTAGCTATTTATAAAATGTATACTGGAAAGTCTCTGTGGTCCCTCAGAACTCTTGCATTGTATCTTGCTGCTCACAAATGGCTGAAGCTTTGTTAAAACAATTTGAAGACCGTGTTTGGGTCACAGGAGCGAGTCATACCATGCTCGTAGTAACATATCCATCTCTTCTATGTGTGCACCTTTGGTGCTCCCCGCCCAAGTAAAACCCACTTATTAAAACAGTATCTTAGTTTCCTCATTCCTCCATTTTCTAAATGGAGTTTAGAAAATACTCTTCCAACTATTAAATTAGATGAGTTACTCTAGTTCTTTGGATGAGAGAATCTTATGCTTATTATATATTATTTTTGAATTTTTTCTCAGTGATAAAATAGCTTCATTATTTTCTTTTGTTATAAATAAGAACTCTGACACTGAGGGTTTATCTAAACTATGTAATTGCTTCCTCATTCAGTTCAGCCCAAAATGCCCCGAACTTGCATTTTGACTTGTTTTTCAGGACTTCCCGCTGTTTCCAGTTAGTTAGGAAACATATCGAGAGCGTATTTATTTCAGACATGTCGATAAATCTCTCTATAGTTTGGTCTAGAAATTGGGAGCATGTTGGGGGTTGTGAAACAGCCCTTTCAATCTCCGAATCTGTATATTTGGTAGATGAATAGGAACAGTGCGAATTATTGTGTAAATGTTAGAAAGTGGCTTGAAGTAAGCAGTGGCAACAATGATCTGGTCCCAGACGTAAGATATAGAATAATTGATTCAGATAATTCATTAATTCCACAATTCTTTGTCGAACACCTATATATACACTGGTCAAAAGGAAGATAAAATATCATTTTTATTGAGGAATTTTTAGTCTATTGGTATAAATGGATGTATATATTCGTGTGTTTACATTTACGTATTAATTAACAATTAGAGTAACACATATGGTGAGGGGTAAATTCAGATTTATGAGCTCTGAATGGGAGCACAGAAGAGGGGCCTAAGTCCATTAGACATATGTCAAGAGCATTATGATATATTTTTATAGCTTTATAAGTGCTCGTCTCACTTTTACCTGTCAGCAATTTATATGGGTCAATTTATTTTTGAAAGTTTCGGTTTCATAAAACCCACAATTTTGTGCCTTGTTCACTGGCCTATAAACCACTGTTTGTAGGCTAAATTTCCACCTGAGTACATCAGTTGATAAGTGAACATTTTGAGCCATCATATGATGGAGTTGCCCATCAGCCAACATTCAAGTTTTAGCAGAATCACCATCTTTCCCGAGTGCCAGTTTTGTGTAGTGCTGCATTTTTGTCCTTATGTTATAAAAATGACTGTAAGAATTTGGAAGTGCTAATGCTAGTGATACAAAGTTGAGGTATCATATATTTTATCTTAATTAAATTCAGATACAGGAAATTATTAAGCATGCCGAAAGTGGCAGTTTTACTTATATATATATATTTTATGACACAAAAACAAAATGGAAGAACACGTACAAAATATTGGGCATAAAAGGTGAGGTGGCATTAGGGAATTTTGTAATTTTTTAAATTTTTAGTTCTCTTAGGCTGAAGTTTTATTATTACCCCAAATCTATTGTTTGGCTTTCTCATCTTGGATTTTTGTATCTATGTTCTGGAAAGTCCACAGAAAACCTGGCTGGAGCCCTATGGTCTCTGGAAGATTGGGAAGAGGGTTTGTTCCCATCACGGAGGCTGTCAAAGGCTGACCAAGGGCTTCTCTGTGTGGGGTTGGCCAGGGGCTGGGGCAGGGATGGTCATGGATGCAGAAATAAGGAAAGTGGATGAACTCTTATAAACCCTTTATCCAGATTCCTAACATTTTGCTTTATCATCTTCTCTCTCTCTTCTTTATATATATTATTTTTTTTTTCAGAACAATATAAGATTAAGTTACAGACACTGTGTCCCATTATTTTTATATATTGCCATGTGTGTTTTCTAAGAGCAAGGATATTCTCTTACATAAACACAGTACTATGATAAAAGCCCAGATAGTCATATTGATACAATGCTATAAACTATGGACCTTACTCATATTTTGCCAGTTGTCCCAATAATGTCCTTTATATGATATGTGTATTTCTGGTTCATGATCCAATCCATGATAACACACTTCACATCGCATTTAGTCGTCATGTCTCTTTAGTCTCTGGCCTATCTTTGTCTTTTATGATGTTTATAACTCTGAATAGTACATACCAGTTGTTTTGTAGAATATCCCTCAGTTGTCTAATGTTTTGTTGTGATTAGATTGAAGTTATGCATTTTTGGTGGAACGCCATGGAGTTGGTGTTGAATCCTTCTTGCCTCATATCAGGAGGTGCATGGTGTCAGTTTGTCCTCTTCTAGTGACTTTACCTTCGATCCTCTGGCCTGCCAACTATCTCCACTGTGAAGTTGCTACTTTTTCCCTTTGCGATTGCTAAATGCGTTGTCAGGATATACCTTAAGGCTATGTTAATACCCTGTTTTTCTTCAAACTTCACCTAGTAGTTTTTGTACTTGTTGATAATTCTTGCCTGAACCATTACTGTAGTGTTTGCCAAGTGATACTTTTCTCTTTCTACATTTAGTTTGCTTTCTACTATAAGGAAGAGTCTTTTCTTTTCCTGTATTTATTATTCAGGTGTTTATACCAGTATGAACTCATAGATTCCTATTCTATTCAAAGTATTTCAGTCTATTACTCTTGTTATTTATTTTGATGTTCAAATCGTCCAAGATTTGGCCAGTGGGAGCCCCTTCAAGTTGCTCCTGCCTTTTTGACATGTCTGCATCTTTTTTTTTTTTAAGCACTGTCTTACTTTTAGGAATAACAAGATTTCACACGCTCCAATTTTGAGAAGAAAAACATTTTCTTTTTATGAACATTTTCTTTTTTTGAACAATTTTTCAAATGTTTTTATTGTTAATCATATATACATTTTTTTAATTGAAGAAATGATTTTAATTTTTTCCCCTGTCTACCTCCCCCTTCTTTCCTCCCCGCTCCCCTCTGGAAACCACTAGTCTATAGTCCATGTCCATGAGTCTCTGTTTGTTCGTCCTGTTTGTTTGTTGCTTTTAGGTTTATATCCCACATATAAGTGATATCATGTGATTTTCAACTTTTTCTGTTTGGCTTATTTCGCTTAACATGATTATCTCAAGGTCCATCCATGTTATCACAAATGGCAGTGTTTCATCTCTTCTTATGGCTGAGTAACATTCCATTGTATATATGTACCACAGCTTCTTTAGCCAATCATCTATCATAGTTTATGAATATTTTCCTCCATCTTTTCCTTAATAGAAATCTGAAGCAATGCCAAAAATTAAATTTATGGATTTGGTGCAGAAATAAACTGCCTTTACTCTTTCTCCTTTCTCTTTCACCTTGTACTCTGAAATTACCGTGTTTCGATTTTGGGTGGAGCTAGGGAACACACCCAACATCAGCCCCTCCTCTACCTTGCCCTGCCTGGGACAAGAATAAGAACAGAAGCCCACATGCAGATGTGTAAATTTAAAAATTCTCAATCAAGCTAACAAATCTTTAAATAAGAAATAATTTAGGCTTTTACTTAACAAATACTTACAACCACTGGAAGGCCAAGATACATGTAGAATTCTTGGGTTTCCAGAAGGGTTGCACCTTAACACAGCAGCCTTGGATGTGTGCCAGGAGGCACCCTAGCCCATACACTCACGCTCCATCTATACCCTCCCCTTGAAAATAGCTCTCTCTTGCCCATCCCTTGGGCTCAGGGGTACACAGACTGGCACAGTTTGCCCTGCAGAGGAAGACAGTGCAGACCCTGGAAGTGGAGAGGGAATGTGGGGATGCTGGGTCCCCAGCTCATGGGCAGAAAATGAAGGGACAAGGCTCTGGCTGAACGCATCCCCCCACCCCGCCTCCATGCTCACTTCTCATGCGCAGCTGGAGAAGGGCCAGAGCAGGGTCCTCTAGGTGGCCCAGTGAAAGGAAGGTACAGTTCAGATTAGCCGGAGTAAGTTCTGAGTCTTTGAAATAGAGTGTGGGGGTATGAAGAGTTTCTCCCAATCTTTTACAAAAGGTTATGGACTATTAAGTAAAGGCAGAAGACTTAAACAGAAATTTTCCCTGAAAGAGAGGGCACATTGCTTTCATTGTGCTTTAAGTGACGAATAGTAGATAAGGTCTTCGGAAGATGGAGAGTTTGATGGGGCAGAGAGGGAGCATGAAGGCCCAGGACAACTGACGAGGTGGCAGGGGGGCTGTGTCGTGTGGGAGAGGGCAGAGGCAGGGACAGCAGCGTCACCCCAGTGTAAGTGCCCTCCTCTGAGGAGTCTTCGGCGATATCTCAGTTCGCCTGAGGCTGCCCTGGGCCATGAGAAGTTCCTCCTTGGAGGGGCTGGGGGTTGTCCCCACCCTGGACTGTGAGGGAGGGCCAGTCCCCAGCACGGCCGCAGTCCCAGCAGCTCTCCCACTCTGGCTGAGAATGAATGTTTTAGCTCTAGAAACAAATGGAAACAAATACAGCTGACCCTTGAACAACACAGGTGTCAAGTGTGTGGGTCCACTTATATGCAGGTATTTTTCAACAATTGTATAGTTGGTCCCATATCCCCAGATTCCGAGTCTGTGGATTCAGCCAACTACAGATGCAAAGGGCTGCCTGTGTGTAGTCTATGACATTATCTATAAGGGAATGGAACATTTGCAGATTTTGGTATCCACTGGGGGTCCTGGAACAAATTTCCCAGTGATACCGAGGAACTGTATTTAAATTTTGGGGAGTCAAAGTTATCGGTGGATTTTTGACTGTGTGTGGGTTGGTGCCCCTAACCCCACCTTGTTCAAGGGTATACTGTATAATCAGGATGATTTGTTCTGCTTGCTTCTATAGCATCACCTTCCAGAAAACAGATCCCTCATTTCCATAATAACTTCATTTTCAGGCCTAATCTCCAACTGTGGGATGAAGGCCTGGGAAAAAATCTTGCTACCCTCTCAGTAGTTGGAAACCTGTTGTCAGCATTTTACCTTACTTAAAATAACCCCAAGAGAGTGGTATCTTGTTCCACTGGGAGTCACCTCCTGACTGCAACATCATTGAGCCTGAGGGCCGGCTAGCTGGCAGCGCACTGTTTCCTGTCTGCTTTTGGGTGGCAGAATGAGGGAGAAGAGATCCGAGAGGCTGTTCTTATTCCTTTCGAGTCCTGGGGAGGCCTCTTTCAGTCTATTTGTTTGATACACATGTTCTCTACGACAGTGGCTGGGACGTGAGTGTCTCAGACAGACAGAATGCACAGTCAACGGCAGGGGAGCCACCCCAGCCCCTCCCAGCTCCCCCCAGGGGCCCTGATGCCTCATGCTTCCTCCCGCCGCCCAGTGTGGGGCCTGCACAGATAGCATGCAGAGGCCTCCAATTGATTAGTGGAGATTAGTTGTCCCCTTTCCCTCAGGGCCTGGCATCTGTCCAGAAGGCCAATGTGAAGAAGGATGAGGGCCCCACATCCTCTTTGCTCTTGAGGGAGGAGCTCTAGGGAAGGGATTTCTTTAAGACCAAAAACAAGCCTTTCAGGGCGAGGATTTCAGCCAGGCGGGAAGCAGGGCAGCCTCGTGGTAAGGGGGTGGGATCCTGGGAACTCACTCTGTGGGCTGCCACCCACTCTCCTCCACCAGAAGCCACACAATTCGTCCTTGTTCCTCACACCCAAGGTCTGTTTTGTGGCCTCCTACATTCCTTCTACAGAATGTGAATGTTCAGCCTACAGTGTTTTGACTCAAAAACAGGCATTTCACTCTACAAGCCACACAATGGCTTCAACCTAAGCATTATTCTTCTGAAAAAATATAAACTTCCAGGAAAGAAAAAATATTTTAACCACAAATTTGATCTGTATCATTTTTCAAAGAACAGAAGGGGTCATCTTCTTTTAAAAAAAATACATACATATGTGTGTGTATGTGTATATATCACCAATGTATGTATCTCCAATAGTATCCAGAACAAATGAACAAAAACCCCTGAGATTTAATCAGCCATGCAGATCATATTTTATATATTTGGCCTTTGGAGACATATTCTGCTGCTTTTTACTTGTCCGTTTCCAGGAAATGCATCACAGAAGCAGTAAGTCAGCTGAGCCTGTTTCTTCGCCAGGCACGCTAGCTAAATTATCCCGGCTGGACCAGCATTGTCTTACCTTTGATGACATCCAGAAGGCTGGGTGCCCCATATCTGTGCCAGTGGACCTGTAACTTAGGTGCATTGCTTACTTTTCAGGAGGCCATGCCTTACTCTGTGGCCCTGATAAGGCCCACACTGACCACAGCACTGACCACACTGGGCTTCCTTCCCAGTTCTTTCCTTCTACTCACGTAGTAAGCCTTCTCTGCTACTTTCCCTAGGAAAGCCCTCTGTCTCCCATTTCCTGTATCTTCTGTTCTCTTACTTGGTCTGACTCATAGAAGTGTCCACGAAAGAAACTCCTGTGGCTCTTTCAGTAGTTGGACAGAAATATGAATAGTATATTAGGGATGTGACAGGTTGTCCCTGCCTCATAAATGTCCCACCTGCAAAGGTCCTTCCTGCGTACAGCAGACCTGCTCCCCTGTGCCGAACACACACCATGCCTGCTAGAGCACAGTCTTCCTTTCCCAGCATCTTTAGGGATTTCCTCCCCTTCCCAGCATCTGTCCACCCCCCACTGGAGGAGCAATGGGCAAGAGATGGCTCCAGACACAGGTCTAATGTGAACTCTCCCCTTTCTCCCTGGCTATGTAAGGATGAAGTAGAAGGGGACCAGCCAGGAAGATGGAAAATGACAGTGTCTGGTTTTTTCTAATGGTGGCAACAGGTTTAGTAGGGAATAGGTGTCTATGTTGGGTGCAATACTCTTGGGTGCTTCCATGAACTCAAAGAAATTAGCTTTGGGGGCTTCTACTGGGGCTTCAGTAGCTGCCCTAAGGCAGCTACAGAGGTGAACTTGTTCCCTGAAACCCCACTTGCTGGACTAAGGGTGCAAAGCTACGCCCCTCCAGGATCACCCTTCCCATAGAAACCCTGGGCCTCATCCACACCCTCTTCCCCAAAGGGACCAGAGACTGCTCAATGCCTGAACAGGGCTTAGAGTGATTGACACAAGTTTGTGGAGAAGACAAGACAGGGATGGAGATTCAGAGAAGTGGGAAATGGAGTGCAGTAGATTTTATTAGAATATGCGTCGCAAAGGAATGAGCGAGAGATGTGGTCCTTAGATGTGATGACGTTGTCAGGTCAAAATTAGACTATATATAAAATGTAAGAAATCCCATGTATCCTTCACCCAGATTCCCCAAATCTTAAACTTACCATATTTGCATTATCCTTTTCCCTCTAAATATACATTTTTTCCTGAACCGTTTAGCTGCAGATATGATGCATTATCCTTTTCCCTCTAAATATACATTTTTTCCTGAACCGTTTAGCAGCTTTATCTCAAATGCTGAATATGTATTTCTTAAACCCAACACATTCTCTTATAATCGAAGTCAAGTAATCAGAATGAGAGTATTAATATAGGTACATTTTTGAAATTTATAAACCGTTTCAGATTTTGCCAATTGTCCCAATAACATGCTTTATAGCAGAAGAAAGTCCAGGATAATGTGTTGCAATATGTGTGTGTGTGTGTGTGTGTGTGTGAGTGTGTATACATATATGTATGTGTATATATACATTTAATGAATATGTACATTCATTAGAAGCAGGTGACTGGACTCTGCTCACATTCAGAGGGAGGGGAATTAGGCTTTAGCCTTGATGGATGATGATTCAAACAATTTGTGAATATCTTTTTAAAACAGCACCATTGGTTCTTTGAGTATAAATTATTGACATTCCTACCACATGCAAAACATGCATTCATATTTAAATTTTTAATGATTATAAGCTATGTTAGGCGAGGCTATGTTAAGTGTCACCATGAAGAAGAAGTGGATTTTTTCCCTGTGAATCTATATGTATAGTACTATTTGCCAATTGAGATTTTAAATGCAAATAGACTGAAAATAATTATTTTCTGTTACTAAGGTGTCATGTTTGGGCTTGAAGCAAGGATTAAGTTTTTTAATTGACTACATTTAATACTACGTACACAATACGTAACGTCTTGCAGAGCCAGCCATCTTCTCTAGGTCTTTGACCACTGTCCCCTGCCAGCTGTTCTTAAATCTCTCTACACCTGATAAGGTTCACCTCCTGGTCTCTCGTTCTTCCCAGGGTAAAAGAAAGTGGAGGCCTGATACTCACCCGGCGAATAGAAGACCTGTGGGAACTGCACCCATTCTTCGACATCGTGGTCAACTGTTCAGGCCTTGGGAGCAGACAGCTTGCAGGAGACTTGGAGATTTTCCCTGTCAGGGGCCAACTGCTCAAAGTTCAGGCTCCCTGGGTGAAGCATTTTATCCGAGATGGGAGTGGACTGACCTATATTTACCCTGGTATATCCAGTGTAACCCTGGGTGGAACTAGGCAAAAGGGAGACTGGAATCTGTCTCCAGATGCAGAAATTAGCAGAGATATTCTTTCCCGATGCTGTGCTCTAGAGCCCTCTCTCCGGGGAGCCTGTGACATAAGAGAGAGGGTGGGCTTGAGGCCCTTCAGGGCGGGTGTTCGGCTGCAGAAAGAGCTCCTAGTCCAGGATGGCCGTAGACTGCCTGTGGTCCACCATTATGGCCACGGGAGCGGGGGCTTCTCTGTGCACTGGGGCACTGCTCTGGAGGCCTCCAGACTGTTAAGCGAGTGTGTCCAAGCCCTGAGGACCCCTACTTCCAAGTCAAAGCTATAAGTGACATGAAATGACAGCAAGGGGCCCTGAAGACTACTGATCAAATACAATTTATTTTCAAAATCAGAAATGATACAATAGGTATCATTATATTTAGGACTAGTACTAATCTAATCTAGTGCTGTTCTGGTATTAGACTTAAGTCTAGTGCTAATGACATGGGGCATAAAGCTCTATTTTTGTTAAAAACAAAGATTTCTTTTAGATCCGGTGTTCAAGGATCTATGCTAATTTACATGGATGATGGAAGCTGTAGGGACTTTGACATTTTTGGTTCATAAATCCATAGGAGGAGATAACGTATGGATATCACTGAACTCACTGTCAGTTGCAGAGCTGCCCACAATGCTCAAAAATTGTAGCCAAGCGAGCCTTATAATCCCTCTAAATAAATTGCATGGTGATCACACAGCGCAGGTTTATTACATTTAATATAGAAGACAAAGCATGACTCCTGCTGGAAGAATTCCTGGTAGAAGACAGGGATGAAGTTGCCTATGGATGTGGCATCAACTCAATAGCTGTCTGGGGTCCATCGCCTAAGGGTTGTACTTTTCATTACCACAGATGATTGAGAGCGGGTGGTTATATAGCTGACTTTGCCTAAGCATTTTGGAAGATTGGATAGCATGTGCAGCCAAAGAGCTAATTTGCTAATTAAGATGGAACAATCCTTTTGAATGAAGTATAACCAGAGTTTCCTGCAAGTTGTTAAAAAGCACTGGGGAGGAGGGGATTGTGTCTCATGATAAAATGAGCCTGGGAATTGCTGAATTAACTAAATTTAACCTGGCTTCTTGGGCCTACTCAGAGCCTTCAACCCATTCACGGGTATTGTGAATCCTCAGGTGGGCTTTGTCTTGAGTGAGAGAATGGTAAAGGAGGTGGTATTCGTTGAGATAAGGAAGCGTGAGAGAACTAGGTGCAATTTTAATTTGCGGCGGGGAGGGGAAGATGGCGTATGTTGAGTGATAAGTTCTTTTGGATATCCTGAGGGCGATGTGAGGTTGGCAATGAGAATGTGGGAAAGAGAAAGCCCCCAGCACGACTTTGTTTTTATCGTTTCGTTCAGTGAGCTTTTGCATATGATTTTGTTTGAAGAGAAAATTCTGCTGGGAGAGAAAAAGAAGGGGAGAGAGAAAGGCAGGGAGGAGGCACTCAAACGAGGGGTCTTCCCTATAGATTTCCAGCAGGGGGTGGTATTGTATCAAATTCAGATAAATTGGTAAATTTGAAAAATTAGAACTGACTAGAAATAAAAAATGGATACCAGGTGTATTGAGTAAGTATATGATTCTTTTGAGGTTTTGGAGTTTCTATGCCCAAAACGCCAATTCTGTTTAAAGTATTTGAGAAATGTATGAACTTAGATAGACTGAAAATAAACATGCATGCACACACACAGAGTTACACAAAATCTGTAAGAAATAATGTTGTGATAAAATGGCATTTTAAAGAAGGGAAATAAAAATTTTAATGATAAAAATAAAAATAAAGAGTGCTGCTCAGAATAGGTAGTCTTTAGTTGTGTTAAAGGTGGTTCGAAGTATACTCATTTGTTGCTCACACCCCTGGTTTTGAACCTACAGCATTTTCTTATCGCGTAGGTAGGCTCGTACCCTATGACCATTGTCTATTTGCTACTCTCGTTTACTTTCTCTGCATTTTATATTTCTAAAGTCTAACATTACAAGACAAAGATTAGTGGTGTCTTGAGAAAGTGATCATGGCTGCATGCCCTGTTTCATTTTTACTAATTGCTAAGCATTTGTTCCCAAGTGTATCTCAAAGAGGGGGTCTCCAACGCGCCCCCCGCCCCCTGGCCATGGATCAATACCTGTCTGTAGCCCGTTAGGAACCAGGCCACATGGCAGGAGGTGAAACACAGGTGAGCGAGAGCGAGAGAAGCTTCATCTGTAATTGTAGACACTCCCCAGCACTAGTATCGCTGCCTCGGCTTCACCTCAGACCATCAGGCATTACATTCTCATAGGAGCACCTGGTGCCTGGGGGGACCACTGTAAAAGTTTGGGTCAGTAGCTACCAACCTGGGCTGCACATTAGAATCACCTGGGAAATTTTGAAAAAATACCAATGTTCAGTTCTGCTCTATTAAAGTAGAATCTTTGGGGGAATGGGGTGGGGCACTAACATCAGTATTTGTTCAAAATTGCCATAGGGTTCTCACAGCTGGAGCTGAGAATCACTGAACACTGTCCCCTCTCTCCTCACAGGGCTCCACTGCTACATAGCTACTAGCCTCCTTTTCTTGCTCACCATCTTGGGGCATCATCTTGGGGATGAGCTCACACAAGCAGGTGTGTCCTTCAGCACTTCTGGTCGAGGCAGACAAGGATTAGCTGTCTCTCAAAGGTGCTGTCTAGACATGCTGGGAATCACATTTGCCTAGAGAGAGCTATCTGACTTTGTTTGAAAGAGGGACTGAATATAGAGACAATGCCCAGAACTTATATAAAAGTAGAACTCTGACCTACTACAACTGGACTTGGAAACCAACTCCTTATTTATAATAACCAGCCCTGGAAGCCAGCTTGCTATAGGTCAGGTTTGCAGGAAGCCAGTTTGCTATCTCTAGCAACAACTCAGAAAGCAAAACAATAATTTCTGAAACAATGGGCCCCGAATGGCCAGGAATTAATTAATATCTTCCCTAATTTTTGTCCCATTTCTAATTAAAGACCAACCAGAAAAACTAAATAAGCTCTTCTAACCAATTACACAGTATGTGGAATCCAACTTCTAGTTAGCTCACCTGTAGCTTCCTGCAGCTGACACACCCGAAGTTGTCTCTTTTGTCACTGAAAGCTTCTCACTCCTGTGCCTGCCTTGGAGTGACGGTAGCCAAGTTCCTTGCTACAGCAAAGCTCTAATAAATAGCCATTGCTTTTCTTGTTTGGCTGGTCTTTTTTCCCTGTACCCAAAGATTTCCTGTCTATGTAACTTAAGTTAGTGATCTGTGGTGAGGCCTCAGAATGGACTACTTTGCTGTTTTATTTTCCTATTTTCTGTTACAGACCACTAAAACTTTTTTTTTTTTTTTTTTTCCTGAACACGGAGAACAACTGATTTCTTAAATCCCTGTGTTTGACACAGTGTCTAACATTTGTGGCTGACTTCAGATCTGCTGCTCCGGGACCCAGACTGAAATTGTAGCTTTGAGAGCACTGGTGTTGCAGGCACGGTGCTTCTTCGGTAGACAGAGGTTATGTACATACTTTTAGGATTTATTTGCTTAGGAAGAAAAGAAAAGCCATAGCCCAGTTGGACATAGTTGAATAGAAGAAAGGGTATTTTTTAAAATGACATATATTATTTTCTTCCTTTTATCGAATAGATCTATTCAAACCAATTGATATTTGAACCAATTTTTCTCAACTCATTAAGTGCTTTTAGAGAAAAGGAAAGAAAAAGGTTGGTGGGACCTGTGTTCTCTGGGAGTTGTAGTCTGGGAAGCCTGTTCCAGGACTCTCAAAACAAGTCAGATATTTGAAATAAACGTAGCACTTCATTTTTTTTCTTCATAGCATAGTATTTTTTCTTGATTCCTCTTATCTCTCTTCCTGGGGATGTGAATGATGGAGACACATTTGAAACCTGTTTCCTCTGGGTATCATTCACTCAGGAGCTGACTGAGATGTTCAAGAGGTCCCTTTCTTCTTGAAAAATCTCAGCCGTTTTGCCACAAGGCCTGGGGGCTTTATTGTCCTAAGTAACTTTGCTGCCTATAAATCACAGCCCTAAGCAGCCAAAGGAAATGAGTTAACCAGGTCTCTGAAAAAAATGTAACCAATGTTTCTTCAATTATTAGCAGAACAATTGACTTCCATCTGCTCAGGGCACCTGCCGACCTGGCCTGCAGCCACATTACCCACAATTCCACCACCCAGAGCCTGTAAAAATCAAAATTTTTACCCTGGTGCATGTTCTACAATATCAGCACACCTCTCAAATTTTCAAGCATCATAGTAGTTCTCTTCGATACAATGGAACTCAGAAATTGTGGTGAATACTCCAAATAGTTTGCCTACTCTGTCCAGGCTCCCTTTCCTGGGAAATCTGCTCCGACCTAGGAGTTCATTACCTGGTTAGTATTCCCTCTGCCTTTCTGATCACAGCTTATTGGATCAGAGGAAACTATCAGTTAGGTTTAGGTTCGGTTGCAAGTAATGGAAACATCCCAAAATAGGTGCTTAAAAAATAGGCATGTATTTCTGTCTCACATAAAAGAAGCCTGGATGTAGGCAGTCCAAGACATAAAAGAAGCCTGGATGTAGGTAGTCCAAGACTGGTGTGGGGACTTCATCAGTGATCCAGGCTCTTCTTGCTCACATTCTGCTCTCTCAAAGGATATGGCTCTTATGCTCATGACTCCAAGATGGCTGTCAGAGCTCCAGCCATCACATCACATGCGCCCTACCCAGAAAACTTTCCAGAAGACTCACTCAGCAAGTTTGCTTATATCTCATTGCATAGGATTTAGCCTCAGGCCTACACTGCAATTCAAGGGAAGCTGGGATATAGTGTTTCGGCTTTGTGATGTCAGGGCCCAGGGCATGCTGCCCCAGGATTTTGAACCAAAATCACCCGAGAAGTTATAAGAGAAAGAAGAGCTCTCTGACTCTCCTCTGTCCTCCTAAAAGCAAGAAATAAATCTCCATGATAGGTGCACTCCCCATTCCTGAAGGACTGAGAGACAATCTTATCAAAAGAGTTATAAAACCCAGAATAGAAAAAGCGTATATAAACAAACCTTGCAACGCCTTTACTCATTAACTACCCAAGCCCAAACTTTGTTTAGATTCCTCAAACCTGCTTAGATTCCTTTCTAACGAGCACTTTCTTTCTTTGTCCTGCCAATTTCTCACAAACTTATTGTTTCTTTGTCTAAAAAGTATAAAAAGCTGCCAGGTTCGATCAGTTCTTTGAGCCTCATTTTATGATCTGAGCATCACACTGCGATTCTCCTGTGCACACATATTGAAGTTTTTTCTCCTGTTAATCTAGTCTTGTGTCAATTTTATTATTTTATAACTAGTCCAGCCAGAAGAACTGAAGAAGGATAGAGTGGAGAATTCTCTCCTGCTTCTCAACAGTGACAATGTAAAGGTCAAGATTTTAGCAATCTCTACTAAAAGTATCAAATTACAAATTGAGTTAAGCCAGTCAGATTCTTTAGAATTTGTACTAAGAAATTCTAAGACTGTTTCCTGGTAATGGCAGGCTCTGGAGAGATGAAGAATTGGGCCAGCAGTCTAGGCTGTTCAGATTTATACAGAGGAAGCCAGGCAAGAGAGAGGAGGCAGAAAGAAGCAGAGTATCCTAATCTCACCACCCCCTGAGATTCTGATTTATTAGGCCTAGAATCTATATTTCTTAAAAGCCCCCCAAGTGATTCTGATGTACAAAATCTAGATCGCGTCTCAGCTCCGGATGCACATGAAAATTACCAAGTTGAGGGTTGGGGGAACTTTTTAAAAATATTGATGCCTGCTTTCTCCACCCAAGAAATTCTAATTCTGTTGGTCGGCGGGTGGGCCCAGGTATCAAATTTTTGTTTTGTTATGTTTTTTTTAGTTCTCCAAGTGATTTCCATACACAGTCAATGTTGAAGACCTCTGGTCCAGCTAGTCAAATAGGATTTTGTTCAAAGAAGTTAACTCACAATTGTGTGGGTACAAAGGTAAGGCAAGCCATGGGAGACCAGACGTATTGAAAGTGTTATTGGTGGACTAGGTGAACAGCAGCAGAATGCAGGGGTCATTGTGGGAAGGACAGAGCTGAGACAAGGCATCAAGCTCACCAGGGAGCTTTCTAACCAATGCAATATCCTGACACAGGTCTGATATTTTTATCTTTCATCTTTTTCATTTTCCAGTGGGAGCCAAATCCCAGGCACAGCAAGCCTGGAGGTTGTAAAAACCACAAAGGCAGAGAAGATACATAGCTTTAAGCTGCTCCCTTACCAGAAGGCAGCCTTAATCTCCTTCATGGTTCCAGCTCAGTAGAATAATGCCAGTGAGATGTGCAGAATGGATGGGGGCATAGACATACTGGCTTTGCTCCTAAGAAAATTTTGTTTGTCCTTATTTCTTCTAGCTGGTTAGATAATTCAATTGCCTGAGAATCCAGGGTGTAAGTGTATTCTCTGTGGTATATTCAAGCTGTGAGATTTTAGCAATAGATAGTTTTGAAGTTTTTAAGGAAAATCAATCAGAAAGCCAACAAGAGAGCTTACTGGCTTTTCCAAATTTAAGC